GATAATATATGTTCTAGGTTAGTGAAAATAGGTGTAAGTCTCTTGTGAGGCAATCCACCGAAACAGAATCTTATCGAATTATTTTGTTTTTGCTGTTTTATTTCAAAATGAAAACGTAATTTTAATTATACAAAATAAAATCAAACCATAATCGGCTCTCTAAAAAATTAATTACTCACATTATAATAATAATCGAATAATCTATTCACGATATGTTAGGTGTCAAAAGAAACCTACATCATTTGTAAAGAAAGACTATGAGGAAGTATTTAAAAAAAAAATTAGTTCCCGAAATCAAACTAGATGTCGCTACGGTACGTTCTTGATTACTCCATGACTACCCTTCCGGTTTTCTTTCATGTTTAAAAGTAAATTAGTTTTCAAAACTCAATAAACAACTCATATTCTATTTGTACTTTTTTGTATTTGTATTCATATCTAAGTTTCGAACTTTCAAATTTCAGTTTTTTAGTATGTTAGTTTAAAGGAACGGAAATGACTGTCTTTGGTCCATTCGTTTCCTGCAAAAATCAAATTTTGCTAGAGTCGCCATCTAGTGGAGGTGCTTTTTTATTGCTTTCGTTATTTTTTAAATACTTCCTCATTAATAATATACATAGTATTATATAGAAATAATATAGGTTGGGTTGGGGTACATAGTATCTCCTTACTAGCTGTGTATTAATGTATCAGTCAGTTGCACAAACAGAACAATATACTATCACAGTGTTATTAATAAACAAAGTCTAGTGTTGGAGTAAATTTACACTGATTCTGCACTTAGTATTAGTCAAAAACCATATTATTAAACAGAGACTTAGCAAAGGTTAACCTAGTAAGGAGTAATATTTACTTCTAGAAGGTATTAGGTTTGCTTATTCTCTGTATAATATGAATTTAGACTAATACTAAAATTGAAATTTTAGTGTAAATATACTCTAACGTTAAACCCTGTTTATTAATAGCACTATTAAGGTTTAATGCCTTTAATCACTAATGAATGTCAAATTTGTATGGGTAACGTCGCACTAAACTGGACTAAACAAAAATGGACGTTTGTGCAACTGGCTGTTAGTCTTTTAATTTTAAAAGAGCATTTGCTAATGAACCTGAAAATCAACTTCACCGCGACGATTGAGTGTAACCAAAACTCTTTGGATTAAGCTCCCTAAAGTCTATCTTATATTAGTCAGGGTGTAAGGGAACCCAAGTAGCACATAAATAATATATTAACTAAAATAAGTATCGATTTATGTCCTAAAGTCATACTAACATTTTTAAACAGCACTGGTCAAGTTTCGAATCTGTTTAAAGGCATTTATTTTATCTAATAATGCTTAATGCCATATTATAGTTAATAAAAAAAGTATACCAATGTCAAAACTCCTATTTAAGTATTTGGTAATATTATTATAAAGCTGTTGTCGTATTTCGGTGATATGAAAAACATTATATATTATATAAGTATTAACGTAATATTATTTAGTGCACTTAGTTGTATTTAGTCATTTTCTAGAAACAAAGGTTTTCTAACGGCCTATGGTTGTATCGATTTCATGCTTATCCTATATACACATTGAATAAAGAACAAGTAAAACTTTACCACCGATTTGTTCTTAAAGTATTCTTTAATCAAGCTCAAGCTCCTTTATCTTCTTAATCTATGCTTTTCTCAAACATTAGGCTATATTTTGATCAATATTAAGTTATTTATAGATATACAAGTAATAAATAGATTGTAATTATTTTTAATGTAAAATTAAAATGTAAAATTATTTTATGTATTGTATTGTAATGGTGGCATATTATACATCGCTGGCACCATGGACAAAAAACGTTGGGAAAAACAAATAAAAGAAAACTGAAAAAAGAGTATTCTAATTTAATTGAAGCTTTTAAAAATCAAAATAAAAATGAAATAGTCGTTTGATGATTATAAGCACTATAAGATACTTCTGAAGTGTTAAAATACGGCTGTACCTAAAATGGGAGTGTGTTATACGGTAAATTACGAGCTCTTAGTTTTGTGTCTAACCATAATACGATTAACAGCTCTACTACACTATATTTGAATACCTAATGCTATAATTTTACGAAATATTTAAAGTCAACTGTGTCAGATGAAAAGGGGTAAATAATCATTTATTTTGTGCACAGATGCCTATAAAAGCAATTATGTTGTTAAAACAATGCTAAAAGCGAAAAATTCAACAAAAAAATTTTGCTACTAGGTTAAATTTTCTATTATTTTTATTATATTAAAGGAAGTTTGCGAAGGCGCGTGTATTTTACACCATAAACTTGTATATTTTACTCCACAAACTGATGTTTGCAGCTTATTTCACTCATAACGAGCTGTATAAATGTTAGTACTCTCCTGTTCAATATTAAAAAATACTTAAAAGACCAGCCAAGAGAACATGTCATCATGACACACAAAACAATATATTTTTAAAATCTTATAAATATACTATTTTTTACAAAGGAAATAAAACAGTAAGCATTTTAATAACATTAAATTAATGTACTATAATTTTGATTTACGCATATCAATTGTTATATAATCACAAAAAGTTCAATTAGCACTTTAAGGTGCTAATTGAACTTTTTGTGGCTATTAGAATGCTTTTACCCGACTTTATTAATGCTATTATACAAAAGTTGTAATGCTATTGCACAGCTTTTATAAAGCTAAAAGTCGTACAAAGGGGGGGCCCAAATTTTACGTATAAGAGTCGTTTAAAAGAAATACGGTTGATATACGATTTTATTATTATGCTTAACCCTTGGACTCGTGCTATTATAAGTTTGATATAATGGTGTTTTGTGCTACTTGGGCTATGCTCACTTCCATTATGTTAGTTTCCATTTTCCTTTATACAAACTTTAATATAATAATCAAGAAATTTATTCCAGGATTGTTTGCGTTGCGTTGTGTTTGCATAACTCGAACTAATGAGGCAGTATTTAAAAAAAACATTAGTTCCCGAAATAAAACAAGATGTCGCTACGGTAAGTTTGATAAAATGGTATTTTGTGCTACTTGGGAAACCATCACTCTAGATATCCCTTTCTCTTATTCCTTAACTTTTAGTGAGAATATATCACCAATGATTAGATATTATTTGCTACTTAGATAGAACTGGTAGCAGTTCTAGCTTCAGTCAAATTCTCGTCTATTGCTTAAAAATATTTACATTAGCTCAAGTAATTATTTCTCTCGACTAAAGATACGAGTATTAGTCTTATTACACCTTTGGCAAGGTTTTGGGAACCTGGAAATGGGGTAGTGTGCTCTACACTGTGCTCTGTACCGTGATCTGCACCGAAAACCGCTGCACCATCGTATGTGTCAACGTGGTGTTAGAAGCGCGGCGGGACGGGCACCGACTCCAAAAATGAATGTAAAGTAGACCATCGAAGGCCATGTTCCTTCGAAGGTAAACTATAAAAAACATCACAGTTATTGACATATGATGACAAATTCCTTTTACTCACACTAAGCTTTATGCAACCTAAGGACACAGACGAAGCGGCAAGTCGCTTATGACGCTAGTTTGATGGTAAGGTCTCAGGCTTCTTAGACTTTAGTCGTTGACTTTAAAATTGTAATTCTTGCACACAACAAAAAGTGTTTTTTAAAATGTAAATAACCTATTATAATATTGCTTTTTGTTTTTTAAATAATCATAAAAGGATTGTTTCGTTTTCAGTTAAAATATCGTCAGTTTTCCTATGAAGGTCAGTGTTTACTTGCTTATGAAAAATTTGATCTTGCCAGTCTATTGGCCTTGCTAGGGTTACCTGGGTTTTACAACGAACATCTGCAAATCATAGAAATATGAACACTTTTCTAGTTATAAATGCGTAATAGTTAAGTTATTATTATTTAAAATTATTTGATTAAATATCTACAATAATGGAACAGATGAATTGATGTAATCAAACAAAAATTCTAATCATTATCCTTTATAATATTAGTATAGATTCAAAAAGCTTGTCATAGATAATAATTGTTAGTTTGGTCTTCTTTGGAAAATTTTGGCCTTGCAAAGAACGTACCCATCAGAAGGCCATTATAGGTGTTAATTTTTTTATAAGCTTATTCTAAAACGCATTAGCAACTTATTTTGTTAGCGATCTAATATTGGATACTAACATTTTTAAATAATTTCCATTTGTATGTAGTATTAGAAAAAGATATTTTGATTATCACAACTCTAATTTTAACTGATTTATAATATTGGCCTTGCATGGAGCCCTGTTTCTTTTAAGGCCTTTTGAAAGAACTTAATAGAAGTAATATTTATTTAGTAGTGACAACATCTAGAATAAAAAGAAACAGTAATACAAAGCGTAACTTAATAATAAGTTGCTTTCATTTAATCCGTAAATAAGAAAAAATGCTTATTCGTTAGTGTGGCCTTCCATGGTCCTTCCACCTAAGGTAAGTTAGATACCTACCCACTCATAATGTATTTAAACTCACACGATTTGTATACAATATTATTATAACGAACAAGACCGGTTACATATGTATAATAGGGATGATGACTGGGTAAAAAAAATGCAATTCTATTTAGTCCGTCAGTCAGATAATAGAAAAATATAAGATACGTATTTTTCTTTACTTCAATTTAACGAGAAATAGCTTAGATAACTGTCATTAAAGTTGAGGAGTGGGGGCTCGCGACGTCACAGTTGAGTAGAAAACGTACCCTAACGTGACGTCATGCGAAATTTCAACTCAATGTAACGCCGTAATTTTATGATTACGAAAAAAATACGTGTTTAATATTTTTTCACACTCTACCTGACGGACAAACAAACAAAAATTAGTCATCATCCCTATTATAATACCTACCCACTAAACGCCTAGGTACTTACGACGTATTGTTGAGTTAATTTTGAATAATTTTTTGTGTTTTTAATTTGAAGTCGTTTTTAATTTTAATGATTAGTAAGGAATAAGTAAAATAAAAAATAGGTAGCATTCTTTTAACGCTTATATAATTACATAATACAAAACTTACAAGGAATTGTGAGCAAAAAGTTTATAAAACTTTTTCAATTAGGAACAATCAGAACTATAAACTAATCCCCCGTATCAATCTTAAACTAATTGTGTACATTAATATCACATGGTAAATTTTCATACGATATCGCGATATTTAAGTACCTATTTACATACTATCACTAATAAGAATATAATTTGTTATAAAATTAAACAAAGTAATTTGCAGATATGTACAGTCAACAGCACGTCAGACTATACAAAACTGTCAAATTTCCCCGTCGATTTCAAACTTTAGTACGATGACAGTAGAGGTTAAAATGTATTGCTGAAATTTGGTATATTGTGGTAACCTGACGTGCAGTGTGTACATTTAAAATGCACCAATATTATATAAACTAACTTTGGTAGAAATTTCACACGTATTACAAGTTTTGTAAGAAAGTACCAACATAGAAACATTCTAAACGGGAGAAAAGAAATGTTGGCATAAATGAAATAGCATTTCTTTTTTATTGATTGTAGAATCGTTGAACCTTACAAATCAGCGTACGACAGTTAAGCAATCAGGGGGCAGTAGTTCAATAATCAGTTAATATGAAGTTTTAATATATTACAGTGTTTTAATTATTATCACTGGCAATTCGTAAGAATTTATATGTGAAAAGGTTTAATTAAATTCTGTATTCATTTACTACTTTCAGTCTTATCTAAGAGGACATTGTTCTAGTATTATTATCGTTATTATTTTAACGACTCTATATCTATAAAAATATAAATACATAGTACTAATCTTAATCGGTATTTATAAGGTCTTTGTAACATACCCTATAATAGTTGTATAACAGTATCTACTTATTACAAAAACATTTATAAAAAGGTTTATATTTCCTTGGTGTTCAAATTCAGATTTTTAATATATTTTTATAGTAGGAAAATCTATTAAAATGTTTTATTATCATTACATTAGACGTTTTTTGATTAAATAAACTATATAAAATTTAAAATGTACTTATATATTGTAGAAATAAGAATATCCTTCTAACACCATACAAATTTAATCTAACTAGATATTTTTAAAAAGGCTTCTTTTTCGTACGTCAAAATTTTATTTGACGTTAAACTTTTATTTTTACTCTTAAATTGAAGCAAAGAATTTATGATTTCATTCCTTAAGTAATAAATGTAAATATTTTTGGCTATAAAATAACTGCCCATCAAGAGTAATGTCGAAAGTAATATATAAGACACAGGGGGTAATATCACAGTCATGAAGTATATTGTTGTTTTGATGTGAGCTGGTAAATCTTCTTGATTCTGTAACAAAATATTATTCATATATAAGGTGTAATATTATTGTATGCCACGACTTCGTGGGGTGGATTAGTTAAGTATACTGAACAACTTTTACCATGAGAGCAATACTGAATTCACGAAAAAATAATCAGCTGATCTGAGATTTTATTACAACATTTTTAATTAATTTGCTTTTATGAAAAAATTCAAAGCAGTATAATTGATATTATAATAATGTAATAGATTCGAAAATAATAATTAAACATGCATCTAGTCTTCTATATCGAGGAATTAAAGTCAAATTGGATTAAACTATATTTTGGCGATATTGTGTTTTTAAATATTTGGAATGAGCGAAATAAGTAAATTATAACTCAAAATATTTAAATTATAAAAAACCCCGACAAGTAGTTTTGGCAGTCCTCGCGTGATGTTAATCTGACACTACCTAAAGAATTCTGAAGAGACCAAAACAAGTGGAAATCTGAAGGTGCAAGGTTAGGACTATACGGTGGATGTATTAACACCTCTCAGCCATACTCTTTTAATTTTTGCTGAGTGGCAAAAGATATGTGAGGTTTAGCGTTATCATAGGGTTCAGCTCAGGTGAACTCCCTCTCTTAGACGGGTTCGGGTGAGAGATGCACAGTTGCGCATTTCTTGCCTTTGACCAGGGGCAGTCTAGCGGGGTAGCGCTCTCGCTAGGCATTGCACAATCCAACCCCCCAGACAGGACAAAGACAAAGAGCGCTTTGTCCTGTCTGGGGGGTTGGACTTGAATGTTCCTGAGCCCTTCCCCTAACCCGAAATGGGACCTATCCTGTAAAATGGGAGGGGGTGGGGGTCGAGCAGGGACGGCAAGCGCGGGAATTAGTCCCGTTACCGTGCGTCGTTCCCCCGCAGTGAGGGACATCGCTGAGTTTTAGTGGGTAGGCCCCTGCTTTTTGACCAGACCCCACTCTGTCTCAGCATATGCGTAACGCATTTTTCAGCGTCAAAAAAAATAAGGTTTAGCATTATCATGATGAAAACCCACACCCCTTCTGTTGATTAATTCTGGCCGTTTTTTCTCAACTTCTTGCTTTAATCTTATCAGTTGTTCGCAGTAGAGTTAAGAATCGATGTGTTCCTGCCTGTTGGTAACATCTCATAATGAATAATAAATTCCCTTCCAATCCTACCATACACAAGGGTGATCTTGATGTGATTTAACCGGGTTTCAATAGTCTGTGAAGCCTGACCGACCTTTGATCACGACCTTTTTCGCACGTTCTTGTCGTACGTGATTCAGTTTTCATCACCAGCTTCTTCAAGAATGATTTGGTTTCATTACGCCGTAATGAAGAATTACAAATGAGTACACGGTTCATTAGGTTTTTCTCAGTGAGCTCATGAAATACCCAAATATGTAGCTTTTTTGTGTACCCAACAATTTTCAATGCGCCAAAAGTCTTTTGTGGTCAACCTCCAGTTCTTCAGCTACTACTGCCCTGCGATTCTGTAAAAATCCGAACTCTCATGTGTGCGAATTCACTTCAAAAGCGATATTCGACAACTTTGAATGAGGAAGTATTAAAAAAAAAACGAAAGCACCACTAGATGGCGACTCTAGCAAAAGTTGATTTTTGCAGGAAACGAATGGGCTATAGACAGTCATTTCCGTTCTTTATAACTAACATATTAAAAAACTGAAATTTGAAAAGTTCGAACCTTAGACATCAATACAAATACGAAAAAGTACAAATAGAATATGAGTGGTTTGTTGAGTTTTGAAAACTAATTTACTTTTAAACATGAAAGAAAACTGGAAGGGTTGTCATGGGGAAATCAAGTACGTACCGTAGCAACATCTAGTTTAATTTCGGGAACTAGGTTATTTTAAAATATTTCCTCATTGGAAATAACGTTTCGTGGCATATCGTGAAGTGAGTTTCGAAATTACATAGTGATAGAATATCTGAGACATGTATAATCAATCAATTTTGTTCTGTATTTTCATGCAAAAATCAACAGACTTTATTGAATAAATGTCATGAATTCGAACACATGAGTGACTTCAAATTCTGGTTCGGATATTTATGGAATCGCTCCCCTGATATGTCGATTTTGCTCCACTTTTTCACAAACGGTTGCCATTTGGTCCGTAACAGGGCGACCCGAGCGACGTGCATCTTTGATATCAAAATTTCCAGACTGAAAACGCTTAAACCAAATGTATGCTACTCTCGCAGGAACTGCACTAGGTCCATAAATGTCACAAATTATTTTCGTAGTTTCCATTGTATTTTTATCTTTTTTTTAGTAACATTTAAAACGTATCGAACTTCTTCATTAGATTCACTCATTTTGACAGTAAGAAAAACAAATGAAATTGCATATGTTTCTAATTCAAATTCGAAGTTATCTTCTTTAAAATATTAACTTTTTAATTATATCAAAACCAGCCAGATACAAATGGTATAGCCAGAAAGATTTTAATACAAATATATGCATACTATATGCGAAAAGACTTTTCCCCAACCTAATCCTATCTATATGCGTCTAAATTAAATATAGGACTAATTATTTAAATAGGTTTGCGTAGACATACTGCATGACTGTTATCAGTCATAAATATATACGTAATAAAACTCACATATTCAGCCCAAAACAATGGTATTACTAGATTGGAGAACTTTCTGTAATCGTAAGGGAAGCCGGATAGATCGTGGATTCTCAAGTTGCTCTGCATACGAGCTACAGACCGAAACGGTATGCCCGTTTTCTGTAAAAATAAAAAATAAACATTTTATATTGCATATTAGCTTTTCGCTAGCGGCTGCGCTCAAGTGCCTAGGAAATCATATAAAGCTTTAATTTAGGCATAGAATTATCCGTATACGAAATTTCATCAAGATCAGTTCGGTAGTTTTTGTATGAAAGAATAACAAACATAAATCCATCCTCGCAATCTTTCGCATTTTTATTATTACAGATAATAGCCAGATTATTCGATTTCTAAGTTGTTCTAGAGATAACTTTGAACATGGCATTGTTAGTTTTATCTCAAACAATCATTTATGAACTATTAGACTTGATGAGCCGGAGTACTTCGTATCTCCTCTCACCGTTTAAACCTTCCCTGGACTCTACGATATTTCAAAACCAAAATCAGGTAAATTGGCTAAGTCTATACGAAAATCGATATTAAAATTAAATGTTATTTTATATGCAAGAACTTTTCACCTTTTTATTATGTCCAGTAAACAGTACATCAGTCTATCGATATCTGTCTGTAACAGATACTTCTTTAATGTTTTGTTTGTTTAATTCAAAATTAACTGACAGAAGAGAATTAAATGTAGCTGTATAATCAAATCATTCACTCGCTCGTGATTTACATTTCATCAGTCAAATATCGATTATGACACCAGAAACCGAAACTTACCGGCTCAACAATAATATATGAATTATGCTTGTACCGGTCCGGATGCAGTCCGGTAACATATGTATCTTTAGGTGGATCACCTGTGTAAAAGTGTGGATAGGATATCACCATCGGAAAGTCTGGAACAAAGTAAGTTTTTACAATTAATTATATAAGGTAAAAGAAGGTAGTGATTTTTATATGTGACTATTCTTTCATGACCCATAAAGTAAGTTTTAATTGTTTAATATAGTATTATAATAGTTAAATCTTACAATCGCGTATTAAACGTAAAGAAATCACAGATTGAGAGTGAACGGTATTGAAACAAACTTACTAAGAGTGTATTTCTGCTCCAAAGTCGTAACATATAACATTGAGCTTACCACAGACGTTAAATATCCGTTTAGTGCAGTATTAATACTTTTTAAAAACCTTACAAGGAGAGCATATTGTGCGTTCGTGACTAAGCCATAAATATTTAACCGTTTCTTGTAATATTATTTATTCGGAAACAATACAAAGCTAAAGTTTAGGTCTGATTATGATGGTGGAACAATTATGAGAATCATCTTCTAAAACCGTACATAGGAACTTACTATAATAACATTTTGACCCGTCGCTGAGACCTTTGGGCAATGTGGGATCAGTGTCGTAGCAATCGGTACCATTCAATACTCGATCATAAACGTTCTCAGATAAGTTATAGCGGTATACGGGCACGCCGTCGATTACCATCTCATCTAAAACAAAAAAAATCATATCATTAAGTATTCATTAATATTTTAATTTCAATATCTCTCTGACACTTATGGTCATCTTCGTTCTTTAAACTCTCTCTCACTATCCACTCCTCTTTCTCACACTGTCTTTATGTCCAGCTCATTTACTTTTCAATTAATTCGACTGTGGAACAGATTCCATCAGGTGATCAACAAATAAATTTACTTTCAAAAACTCCTACCTTTGCAGGGCTTGTGAAGATTGTCATCGTCATCTGTTTATATGTATTAATATGTCATATATATTTATGTATATATTCGCTGTATCTATGTAATTAGGTAGTGTGAGATTATTTACGATATATTCTTATGTAATTGTATATTTAGTAGTATGTTTATGATTAGTTAAAAATTATTGTTTTTATAGGTTTTTTTAAATATTCACCTATTTTTATTGCTCTGTACCGTCATCGCGTTTGTTAATTTTCTTAAAGAATGATGTTATTATTATTAAATGCTATTATCATTAAATCTGCCTTTTGTACCATGCTTATATTGGTCACTAAAGTTCAATAAATAAATATTAATCTATATTTTTTATTCCGTGTGTCGCCGCGCGCAGGGTTAATATATTATGTGGCTTACTTAGACTCGCTCACTTTATACATATCTAAGGAATCAATCCACGTGATGGATAACAGGCAACGCTGGACAAGCTAGATATAATTAAACTTAAAGTTTTGATTAAAAGATAGGGCAACAAACCAATAGTCAGATAAGTCATTTAATAAGAACGTTTTATTAAAGTACCTATTAATGTAAAATGACTTACTAGAAAATATTAAAACATGGCAATGCTAGAAGCATTAGGTATATTTTGGAGTTTTTAGCCAAGAATAAATTAAAAATAGCCTTGGTAAATTTTTATAAAAAAATTTACCACAGACTATGTAGTCTGTGGTAAAACATCTTTAAAAAAATAGATTAAAAATAGATTGAGTTTAAAAAAAAATTACCTGTTTCGTAAATTCATATTTACGAAACAGGTTATTTCTTGTATCATGGGTTATTTCAATATAACGGAATAAAATTATTATTACCAGTGAAATACAATGGCATAACTTTGCATACAGTTTTCCTCCAATATAATATCACGTCTTCCTTCTTGAGATGTTGGTGGTACATAACTCCTTCCGTTGACCCGAATATACGGTCAGGACACTCCTGCATACATAACATACGAGGGTGGTTTGAAAAGTTCTCGGCCCGACCAAGAAAACAAAGAAAATAAAACAAAAACATGTTTTATTTTTCTACATATTCTCTCCTTGTCTCAATACAATGGCATCTGACATACGATTAAATAAAGAATCGAGCTGTCGATGGACGTGAAATTAGTTTACATACTACCCTCAAATCTCGGTCAAGGTTGAGAACTTTTCAAACCACTCTCGTGTTGTGAGCAATAATATAAATTCATAAGTTAGAGGTAAGGTAAATCAAAAGTCAGAGATAATTTCCGAACCTTTCCATGGTCCCCGATTATGGCACCTACTATAGTTCATAGTTCACTATAGTTCAGAGCCTTGACCATTTCAATCTGCTACAGACAGGTACATGATTCTGTCTGTTGTTCTTTTTTTAATTTCTTATATATGTCAATGTTTTTTGTGTACTTTTACTTTTTAAATTAAATAAACTAGTTATCTATGGTATCGATTTATCATCAGATTAAATAACGATAACAAAGATATTTTATACTCTTCACTAATATTTATGGACATAAAGTTTCTAAGTAATTTTGTTTGTTTGTTTGGGAAAACAGCTTAAGATAAAATTACATAGGTAATGTAGACTAAAGGGTGTTAATGCCCAAGCCATTAAATTCGCCTTTGTACATTTATATATTAAATATAAAATAAATAATTCCATTTTACAGTACATGGAGTAGACTGATATCATAAAAAATGTTTGGTCACCCATCAAATTGTCAACATTTGGGAAAGTTGCTTAACTTTCATGATCGCAGAACAAACGCGCTGACCACTGCGCCGCAACTTAACTTCCTCATAGAACTATTCACATCAGTTATAAGTATAGGTACATATATGGAGTATTTTTCTACATAAGGGTTTACTCACATTGGCGTCGTAACCAGGGAGTTGTGGTTGGCCCCTGAACCTGTCTATTTGAAAGAAGTTCTCGTGGCCCCACTGTGAACCGATCTTTACAGTCACTTTGTCCGTAAAATCGTCGTAGATCTGGGGGAGTGTTACATGAAATTAATATTCTTAATACAAAATGCTTAAAATAATCCACTTGGTCCCTGGCACCCTGAGATGGGAATTAAGAATAATTTTCAGTATGGCATGGTGAATGAGAAATTAATCAAAATATAATGAAATTAATAGTTAGAATTTCTAAAACAGGAATTACTAATGTGATATCAATGATAAATCGATGTAAAAATGAAAATCATGGTCAAAAATGTGACTAAATAATTAAGGTATCTTTCTCTCACTGGCACCTGCCGTCTTCCGAGGGATTTTAGTGAAATTTTAATGTAGATAAGTAACTAAGTAAGATATAAAAAGGTTTGTTCATAAAGACATTTTTATTGTCGTTGGGAACAGCGGGACGGACAGTCTGAAAGGGCACAATCCCGCTTAAGGAGGGACTTATGGTTACGTTAGGAATTTGTACCTTATTAGAAAACTAAGTACTAAATTAAATTACACTCGATGGCGGTGTTTTACGCAGAACAGACTCATGTCGAGAAGTCTCGCCGTAATATTCCATATAAAGGAATGATAAGGCGAGAGACATGTCACGCTCACAAGTCTCGAATGTTCTCGGGGCTTCTTGGCGTGAGTCTGTCCGGCCTATTATATTCGAAAATATGACGACAAAGTAGACCAAAAGTACATGAATTAGAGCTTAAAGTCGCCGTTAGACCTTATTGGGCGTTAATGGAACTGGCTAAAGATTAAAAAAAAAGAAGAACGCCGATAATCTTACCCTAGCGAGCACCCCCATGTTATTGACAGGCACAATGCCTGGAACAATATTTTTGGACGTATCCAACACTGGGTCGGTAAGCTCCCACAGATATTCGTATATAGTCTTCTTCATAAACAACTTGCTACCGTGCGAGTCGACGAGGAGCCTGAACCCTGTTCTCACTATGTAGTTGGCATCATGAAGATACGAGGCCATACCCTGAAACGAGCGAAGAGGCTTAGAAGTGTAAAGGCAATACAGCTTATTTCTCTTTTTCTCATTGCGCCCAGCAAAATATTGGAGAGAGAGGTCTGTAACAGCATTTGTTATAGACATCTCTCTCCACCGCATATGATGAAGCTTGATATAGATCAAAGATCTTTTTATAATCAGTCCAGAATTTTTGGATGCTGCTTATGATGATGATGCTGAAAGATTCAATGCCAACAATTAAATCTTTCCCCTATATAGTATTAAGTATAGACAACTGTCGTTACTGTAATTCAGCTTTATAAGTTTGCAAAGGATTTAAAGTTAAATTAATCAAATGAAACTTACCAAAACTGCCATATTCGCAACGATAAGTGTGTCATTCAAGTTGAAGTCATTTAGATGTGGCAGAAAGATTGGGTACCGTTTAGCTAAGTATGTCATTGTGCTATTATCATTAAAATGTATGTTAGAATGTAGGAGTTTCTCTCTGGAAATATAGAAAAACGAACATAAATGATTGAATTGTTATCTTATCACATGGAGGTTATATATAAAACAAGTAACACGTCAAATCGGAGTACGAAATATTTGAGTTAAAATTCAGTATCCTGTATTCTAAAAATTGTAAAAAAATTATACAGGAAACATTTGTAATATTTTCTTAGTTACGGTAAATTAAATTCACGTATTTTTCTTTTTTTTTTAACTTAATTAACTTAAGTGTCTTTGAAAATGTTGCTACTATATACTTTGGACGATTCAAAAGTACTTGCAATAAGCCTACTTGAATAAAGATATTTTCATTTTATTTCAAATAATCCAGGAACTTATGATATACTTAATGATTGATAACTAGTTTTATCGATATACCTACAGTTTCTTCAATTACAAGAAACATGTATATGTTAAAGTAAGATTTAATTATGATATTAATGTTTAAATATGAGTTTTTAAGGAAAAAAGAAATTCCAAAATATATAACTGATAATATATTATATTAATCGTTCCTCTATTGGAGTATTAAAGGAAAAAAAAATGATTTTGTACTCGTACTATGGAGACTTACAAGCATCCTATCTGTCAATTGAAGTCGGTTCAGATTAGCATCAACGGAATTCTTTAGTTTTTAGTATATTATTTGAACAGTTTCTATTAGTTCTAAAGAAAACAAAAAACGACACATAAATGTGCTCGGAAAAGGGTACTCGACTCGGACTATTGTTATGGCGCCCAACGTGGAGCCAAATGTTTAATGTTTTTATTAAAAAAATATCATTAAATTCTTGAGTCATTTTTTAAAATAAAACAATTAAAGTGTGAAAATTAAAGACACATCGTATTTTGGATGTCAGTATTTCAAAATTACAATCAAACTTTGTAATATTAACATATCCAAGTTATTTTAATTTAAATACGAATATTAGTAGAAAAGAAGACATGTCTTCTGTGGCAAAGACGGAAACCGAGACAACACAGAAAATTTCAGATTTTTATTGACACCATTAAGAATTGAACCTTTGGATTCAATCGAAATGGCGAAGCTCTGAAACCGACGTGAGGGCCACTCGGCGACGGAGGTCGTACTTAACGACTATATTCATCGTAAGAATCATCGTTAAAAATGTACTTACAAATAAACTATTGGTCCTATCTCCTTTACATTTATCTTCTCGTCTAAGCCAGCTAGGAACCGTTCATGATTGGTTACATTAAACACGTATACTCTTAACTTTACCTCATCCGGAGGGTCAGCCCACCATTCATAGGGAGGGAATCCTGAGAAAAAAATAGTCAATGTCAAAATTAATTATTCGAATAAATTAAAAGTAAGTACTTTTGAATACTTCAAGGTTTTTATCAGCCTCTTGTTCAGGAGTGAGACCACCTTACTTTAATATAAGTCGCAGGAAATCAACTAGAGTCTAAGTTTTAATTAGATGGTCTAAACTAATACTCAATTCAAATAAATTAAAAGTGATTTAAAGTAAGTGATTTTGAATACTTCAAGGTTTTTTACCACCTCTTGTTCAGAAGTGTGACCGCCTAACTTTAATATAAGTGAGTCGCAGGAAAGCAACAAGTCTAATTTTAACTGAGAACTGAGTAAGAACTGAGTAGCTCGGTGGCGTAGTGGATAAGCGCCGCGGTCCGTGATCGTAGTCGTTGAGCAACTTTCGCAAGGGTCGATCAAGGAATGGGTGACCAAAATATTATTATTTCGAGCTACTCCGTGTTTCGGAAGGCTCGTTAAGACGTTGGTCCCGGCTGCATTTGCAATCGTTAATACGCTCCAATCTGCATTGGGCTAGCGTGGAGGGTCATTGGCCCATCCTCCTTAACCATCCATAAGGAAGGCCTGAGCCCCTGCAGTGGGGATGTAAAAGGGCTGGTGATGATGATGATGAAGACATACACCTGGTTTCTGAATTGAGTATTTAAAGTTAAGCACGTCTCAAACTATACCTAAACGCCCTTTAAATATGTTTTCGTTTTTATTTTTATTTAAAGATCAGTTTATAGCATTTTGATAAAAACTAGGACTTTTTGCCTTGTGAAAATTATAAAAACTTAGGTAATTGAGAATAATCACTTGAGATTTTCTACTTTCCTCAATTCAGAAACTGGCCGTAAGTGTTAGTGTTGTAACATAGCCTGGGGGCCAATTCTACTAAACAAATTTTGTTTTTAATGGTTTTTCTATTCTACTAAGTGACATACGATACAATTCCAGCTAAAATAGAACTGGAATTGTATCGTATGTCACTTTATAGAATAGGAAAACCATTAAAAACTGTAGTTTCTTTCGGTTACGATCCGTTTTCGATTTGATTTAAACAAAATTTGTTTAGTAGAATTGGCCCTCTGTACAATGATTTATTAATACGTTCTGATATAACTCATTGAGTTTTTTATTTATTGTCGGACGCATTTTACATATATATTATTCATTTTAAAGTAAATTTTATTCATTTGGTTGTTTTATTTACCGTTTTATATTTACATACCGGATGAATTAATATTGTTGCCACAAAAAATATTTATATCAAACATGATTAGTTGATAAGTGTTTTTATTTCAGTAAATGAATTTTGGAATAAGATATATTATTTGGAACAATTGAATCAAATGATATAAAATAGTTAATAATTAAGTACAAATAGTTTATTTTAAATTATTACATGATGTTTAACAGTAACATATGAGATACTTATATTCCTTGACATCTTTTTTGCTAACCTTATTTTATTGCAATATATTATGCAATATTATGCCTTATTTTATGCAATAATAAATTATTGATTGATTGATTTATATTTCTAATTTCACCAAAGTTAAAGTTTTATTTAAAAAATAATTAAAGTAAACACTTTAAATATATTAAAAAAAATCTAACCATGAAAAAGTTATAATGTTTTAAAAAAAAAAGGTAAACTAAAAAGTAATGTATAAACTGTGAACGAATCATATTTCATATATCACATTTACTCAGACCACAACACTATTTTTTGCTGGCAATAATAATAATTATAGTCCATCTAATTAAAAAGTATAGACGATATCATAATACAAAAGTATAAATTACTCTGAAAAGCGAAAGATTTTTGATGAATTCGTAGAGTAATATTGACATGTAACATTGTTCAATATAGGTAGGAACTTATTTAATATACAAGTTATTAAGTTAATGGTATTCGGCCAAGACCTCCATGTGATGACTTTGAACTTGACAAATCCTTAGGTAGAATTACATTATATAAGCGGAAGCGGACGAAATTTGAAAAAATGATTTTTATTTTAGATTTTAGTTTTCTTTTACGATTTACGTGAAAGAGGGAGAGAAAGATATTTTTACCACTGTTCAGTATAATTTATAACCAAAGAATTATACAGTAGCAAAACTAAGAACAAACAGTCGAAATCATGTGCTTACACATGCCTTTACATGAATTCTCAGGGGGTCTCAAGGTGAGCTCAGTTACGCTTGTCACGGCAAGATAAAGGAAAATGAGCGATCTCAATAAAAATATTGTGTATTGTACGGATCTTTAAATTATACGTCACATTTATTAATTGTCAAATCAAATCAAAATTATTTTTTCAGTCTAGGCTGTTGTTACAGGCACTTGTGAAAGTCGAGAGCTACGTCATCTACGGCAGGAGACCTTGTATCGAGAAGAACCGATAAGAAACTCGGCAAGAGCTGCTTTTTTCTCCCTGTCTATTTCATACAAAGCATCAAGATGAAGAAAAATGACTTTATTCGTAAGTAACTTCATATTTGAAGTAATATTTCAAACCTTATTGTAATAAGTGTAGAATATAAAATCTCCCTATTCAATTTGCTCCAGAAGTGGGGACATTAACAAGCTGGTGATGGTAATGATGAAAAGTGAAACACTAGAAGGTTTCTTAAAACGATATATCGTATAAATTCATATGACTTACGAAACTTGAGCGAATTCTGAAAATAAATACCTACGCTGCATTGGAGCGTTCGGATTGCCTTCTTTATAAAACTAGTTAGTAATAAATAAGACATTTATTTTTTTATTTTTAATAGATTTTTATTGTTATGACCTTATTATATATTACACACTGAAAAGTATTTTCGTAGTTAAGACAAGTTATGAACGCTTTATTATTGAATTTTATGGTATAAAAAATCGTTTTTCTTATAAATAGTTGTTTTTAAGTAAACTATTCAGAAACAAGGGCGGGGGGCGTTAAAAGGGATCTCATTTATTATTTTTTTTATTAATTCCGCTATGGTGATTCCGATATGGTATGCAACATCACGATGGTGATGTTGCATACCATATCTTTAATGTAAAGTCGGTGTTAATTCAATTTACGTGTCGCTCAATATACCTATGAATTTCTACTCTGACACAAGGTATCATTAGTTAAGTAATTTTTGCGCTGACGATGATAACACACGGTGCTTGAAATAAATATATAAACCGCTTACGCTTATGTTTAGTGGCAGGCGGACGTTGAAGCCTTATAGAATTGTTTGCAGGTATTACCTCGGACAGCTTTATTTTTCATTGTGGGTCATTGCATAATGTCGTAATGGCTCGAATTGTTTATTTTACGACTATTTCAAAATAACGGAAAATGACTAAATTGTTTCTGAAAAACCTGAGAACTTTTTGTTTACGTCTAAATATGATGTCGTCCGTGGCTATGGGGATCGCACGCCGGTTTCAAGGGTGGACTCCACCTCCGAGGCCCCATGTGTTCGATTCCCGGATCGCTCCTTTAAAGGGAGTTTGTCTGTCTGTTACGCTTTCACGCCTAAATCACCGAACCGATTATAATAAAATTTGAAACAAAGCCTGAGAAAAGACGTTGCGAAAACATGGGTGGAGGAAATGTGTACGAAAGTTGGTCAATTTCAAACACAAAACTATGAAACTTTATTGTTTAGGCATTATTTTTTTTTGCAGAAAGCAAACGGCGTTCTCGATTCCTCTGCCAGTCAAACGGGTGGTGTACGGACGGGGTTTAAGGTGCAGGACGTCCGTCACCGAGGTCCGAGTTTGATTCCCGGAGTTCCTGATTATTCTCATGACAAGACTGTACAATATGAACAGATTCAGTGTCTAACATAAATGGTAAACAGTGAACTGACAATTTTTTCAAGAATTTGTTACTTTTTCGTTACATCAGAGCGTATTTTCATCAATGTTCAGATAATCCAGTCAAATAGCCGAAAGAAAGATTTTTACAAATATTTAAACTTTCGATAAAGATGAATATTTAGGTCCTGTTAGGTCCTGTAATTCAGTGGTTCGAGCAGTCGCCCGGATTGCGAAAGGTGATGGGTTTGAGTTCGTGTTAAAGTGGATTTTTTAAGGAATTTTTCATTAGGAACGATTTTTAAATATAAAATTCTGAAAGCAAAATTTAATAATTTAAAGGTTTTATTTAATTGAAGCTTTGTACTGTGATAATTTGGAGCTCGACGCCGAGTGAGAACCGAATAAAACGAAATGCATAAAGTGCATAAAGTGAGGCATGTTAGTACACTTATAAATGTAAATAGTGAAAAAGTTGAGTTGGTTGAATCGACAAAGTTCCTTGGTATTACACTAGATGCCCTCATATTGATAACTTGTGAATTTCTGCGGAATTTGCTGTTAAGAAAATTAGAATTTTAAAGAAATAAATATTTTGACTGTTGCCTCTCAATACATCTATGAAAATATTATAATATACTATAAATATTACGATTCCTTCACAAAAAAATAGTGTTCACAATCTTAACAAGAAATAAAAATAAACTTGTCGTTCTAAGCTTCAGACTTCAAAAAACCAGAGGATCATTTCTGGGTAAATGCATTGCTTTGATCAATAAAGTTCCACAAATAAATTTAACATTCATAAAGAACATACTTATGGGTAAAGGCCACAAAGGCTAGTATAAAGTTGATTATTATTTTAAAGACCGCAATGCATGAAATTAATAGCCGTCGTTTTGTTCTACAACTAGTAATTATATGTACCAACCTATGTCCTACAGACTGAAAATAGTGTTTATTATAGTAATAATACGTACTATTATGGTAATGACATGATTTATGTAAATATCATTACTCATGTATATTAAATTGTTTATCGGTGAGCTTCTTTGACTACACATGTGATTCGATTGACGAAAATACTGTTTTACTCTTATATTTTCTAATATTGTAATGGAAAGTGACTTCATATTTTAATGAAGTCATTTTTCAATCTTGACGCTCTGTATGAAATAAAACAGGGAGAAAAAAGCAGCCCTTGCCGAGTTTCTTGCCGGTTCTTCTCGGTACAAGGTCTCCCGCCGTAAATTTACGAGTCGATGGCGTAGCTCTCGACTTGTGCTTGTAACAGCTTAGACTGATTAAATAATTTTGATTTTGATTTTGACTTATGATAAAGAGCTGGTAAGTTTCTTTCGCTTATTCTTATTGTCAGTAAAATACGTCCTGAATGAGTGGTCGGGAAAAATATTTTTTTGAATGATTCAAAAGTGCTTGTAACAAGCTTATTTGGATTAAGATATTTCATTTCAATAACTGATCGATTCTATCCGTATTACACACATACCTGGTCTCATGTTAAGTTTCTCTTTCAGCATGAGATCTTGAGGAGTGAATAAGAAACCACCTATGGATATCACCAGCAACAATACACCCCAAACAAACTGGCTAACTACATCTGTAACAAATAAAAATACGTTATTATTGTTAAAACTTAATAATTATATTTGATCATTTTGTATTCACAATACTATTTTACAAAATATTAACTATGAAAAATACTTAAAAAATCCACCGTTCCCCGGTACCCTGAGATGGGACTCGAACCCACGATCTTTCGCTAGTGGCTTTCGCTAGGGCTGGGTTAACATTTTTCTTTAAGAATATTAAAATATAAGTTTTAATATTCTTAATGAATCAAATAAGTTATTAGATTATATCTAGGGCCACGGTAGTGATCTGCTTTCTATTTCATTTCTACAAGAAACAACTATGTATAACAGAAAAGTAGGTATATTTATTTTTCACCAGGCCTATTTCACGGCAGCGGAACGGCTGAGTCACATGTATTAACTAAGGTGTAGACTGTTAAGTTACAGTAAGAAGCCTCGGTTGTTGCCATGGGGGCTCCGTGTGGAGTATTCCCTGCTTGATTTCAGGCTCTTCCCCCAAAAGTGAGGGTACATGCGGGCGCCTAGTAGGTACCATCGATCGCTCGCAATAGGGATGTCGATAGATTATAGTGGGTATGCTCCTGCACTAACATTCCTTCAGGGGGCGGTTCCACAGAGAAGACCCAAGTAAGGAGAACAACGGAGCTAGGGTATATGGTCTCAGCTTGGCAATATTTTACAGTGGGATATGTTTCATAGAATCTACAAGATCCGTCTTCTTAATTGCCATTATTAAATACGCAATTCACAATACATCCGAGGTGTCACAACCGTGTCACAAGAGTATGGGTTAAATGTGTTAATTATACTATTTGTCAACGTACTTCCATTGTTTTTTTTATAATGATGCAGTATTATCTAAGGCTGCTCGCAAGGTTATATTATACTAGCTTTCCGCCAGCGGCTTCGCCCGTTTGGTTTCTAAGGGACTGTTTATTTGGACATCAATTTATATCATGACACGGATATAATTACAATGACAAATTGAATAGCCAACAATGGTTATATGGCATCGTTTTAATTCCACATACAAACTTCCATTCCCATTTTCATAGTTTTATTTGCTGTTTTTCAGGGAAAACATAGGCTATATGTTCACCGCATATAATGTAGCTTTCCGTAGGTGAACGAATTTTTAAAATTGATCTAGTAGTTTAGGCGCCTCCTCGATGCAAACAAACAATCTTTCCTCTTTTTAATATTAGTATCTATCTATACTCAGTTTGACAATCAATGCCCGACGGAGCGATTCTTGCTATATTTTTTACACAAATTAATAAATATCTGAGAATTATACGTTTATTATCTGAGAATTATTAATTATACGTTAATGCAGCATGGACTAAAGTATATAAATACATTTATTTTTATTTTCTGAATATGCCTACTTTCATTTAAATAAATTAGAAAATAATTCAAGACCTCAAAGTTTCATATTTGACAAAAGTCGTGAATATTATTAATCAGGGTTTCACACCTCGAAATTAAAAAAAAACGGAATCCTATCAATCACGTTAACAGTACAGCCAACATTAAGATACCAACGAAATCACGATCAAGAATATTAAGAATCTACTCATGAGATATATCCCGGTATTTTTTTCTATCATGAATCAGATTAAAACACACTGTGAATAACAGAACGTTTGCTATTCTTTGCTGACATCCGACCTTCACAACCATTATGCTTTAATATGATCCAAGAATTTCAATTAGATAGACAAATAATAGTAATTTTGTGCCATTAAAAGATACATTATTTTTTCACTGGTATACACTTTGTCTATTTTATTTTGCATCTTTTTGTTAAGTAGGTTGGTACTTATAATATTAAAATTATCAAATGGTTTTGGCGACTCTTTTATGGCGCCATTTAATTATTTATTAATTACTTTTTCACACCAATTATGCGTGTACGGCTTTGGTTGGTCATATATAAAAAATATTATGTTAATACCTATAAATCGTGAAAGAAAAAAATACTATAAAATATTAGTTTAAGTAACAATCATTCTATAGTTTACGCTACATAATTTCGTTATACCGTTTCACTAATGATCCAGGAAATATTACGTTACGTTACCGCCATTATGACGTCATCAACAAAGACTATGCTCCGAATTGTCTATAGACGAATTGTTTTTTGCGCCCCAGCTAATTAAACATGCGCGCTATTGCATCGGTTTAAGGCATAAATTTGAATTGAAAATTAGTTTAGAACGTTATTGGTGTGTTTAAGTCTAATATGGGATGTGCTTATGTATGGGTACAGCGTCCGCTTGTTGCTATAAAGCGGTGCAATGCTAGGTCATAGACTGTCAGCTGTGAATAGGGTAACCAACTTTTTTAAGGAATTATGTTTTCTTGAAATATTGGCTGACTCATAGTGTAGATACTGAACTATTTCATCACGACTCGCTCGCGTCGTAAAAAAGGATATAATTAGGAGTTCTTTAGACATAACGGTAAAAGTTTATGTCATTATAAGGCAGTTCACACTAAACTGAATGCCAGCTGCCGACTGTGATCGATGTTATACAAAATGACAAAAAAAATATAAATACGCTCACTTCTGTGCTGTAATGTATTTACATGTCTTTAAATCGATTGGTTTTTGATAGTATTTAACTGATGTGCTCTAAGACTAAATTTTAGTACAAGATTAATATATCGGGTGGAAACCCTAGCTAAATAGTGTGAACGATTCGTTTACGAATGTTACAAACTAGTCCTTTGTGATTGTAAGATAAAAATACTTTGATAACGAATTAAATGTGTGTAATAGATTTGATTTATACATCTTTGTGTTATCGTTTCTTATTATTAGTGTTTATGTACAATAAAGAATTATTAATTAATTAAAATGTTTTAAGAGGAGAGTAAACCTAAAATTTTACGCCTTGCTTAAGCTTATTTTTTAATTGGTTTTGTTATAATAAGCTGAAATTTATAATAAGAAAACCACATCACATTTATAATGGTCGTTTCATAGTCAAAACGTGAATTTATAATTTTCTTTTCTGTACAAATACATCACAAAGTTTTTCTTAAATGTGACTCTTTTTTAAGGTTTTAAGGCGTAATTGCATTCGGTTTTTTAATAGGATAAACATCTGAGTCACTTTGTAGTCGACGTCTTTACCGTAAAGGTATATTTTGACATGTAACATAATATCTTCGTGTCCCTAAGTATCTCGTTGACTTTGTGAATTGTTTTTATCAAGAAAATTTTATAAATTCACTCTTTGACTTTCACAGAACCCTTAAAATAATATTATACATTAGTTTTTTCTTATTATAAGATTTATTTCTGTGTACAAAACCGACTGAAAGCTATTGGTTATTAGGGTTCTTATTACATACTTAGATTCCGCTGTCCGTCTGCCTGTCTGTCACCAGGCTGTCTCATGAACTGTGATAAATACGCGGTTGAAAATTTTCACAGATGGTGCTGTTAAGTATAACAACTTAAAACTGAATATAACAAATATAAGAGGAAGGCTCCATTATAAGAAACGTGATTTTATGCTATTTTTATACATAATGGTACGGGACCCTTCGCTTTCCGAAACACTTTGCCGTTTTTTCCCATTTCTCTTGTATAAAGCTAACACTGTGTAACATGAGTGTACTTTATTCATTTTGAAAACACAAAGTTGAAATTGATGGGAGAAATTTTATCGCTTCGGACACTAGTAAATTGACTTATTCCTGATTATCAGCCAAATAGCCTCGGCTTCGATACCTTTAAAGTAGCTTTTGATTGATTTTCTAGCTAAAACTCAATACTCAAATTAACAATAAATATTATAAATCGAGTCTTAGCTAGAAAATTAACCAACCCAATGAAACGCTGGCAAAATTGACCCGAAGTAGCAATGTTACTTACTAGAAATTTCGAAATTTTGAAAGGCCAAATATTAAATAAAGCCACTAGCATCTCAAAATTCGCAGCATTTCATTTACATGATACATATAGTATATTTGGCAACCCTGATGACCTAATTATAGACAGACACAGAACACAGAAAAGAGGTTAGAAAGGCGATCATGCATCCTTTATATGAAAACCGATGTCGCCAGTGTTGCCCCACTTCTTCTGTGTTCTGTGTAGACAGATATATTGTACAATTCCGTGTGAACAGAGATAATCGATAATATAAAACTTACTGCAACAAAAGGACCGACTTCCTCTTTCTGTTGCTCCATTTTCATAAGAGCAATTTTCCGGCAACGAACACTTAAGGTCAACACAGCTCTTCAACCTTTTGTCCTCTGTTTTACCACTGAGAAGATTGTTTAGAGAATCGGCACTCTCTCTAGAATCGACGACTGCAGATCCAGGGGAATCAGTTGTAGAGCTTTCCCTGGCTGATAGTGATTCGGCAGACATTTTTGTATCCTGCGAAAAATAAGAAAATATTCTTTTGCTTTAAGCTAACAAGAAATGACATAGATAGACAGTATAAGCTCACTACGTCACAAATATGTAGAAAATCTACAAAGGTGTGATGTCGTGACTTTCAAACTCGGGGTATTGCCGTAATATATTGATTACACAAAAATGTGTATGTAATATTTCTCAATATTCTATATTACCTAACCTAACCCTTTAATTGATTAGCGCCATTCAATTTACGGGCGTAACAAATATTTTTTAAGGACGATCCCTGATTACCGAACGATGTCAAGCTGTAACTACAAAATAGATATGTTTCAACCAAGTGATATATTCAGCCGACCAATTGGGCGGCTAACCCTTTGATTGAATAGCGTCATTCAATTTACGGGCTGACTTTTGATCAGCCGAGTAATTTACTGATAGTTTATCTTGTATCTATTATAGTGTTTTATTTTTATTTATTATAGTGTTAAGCTCCTTGTTACGATCTGTAATCACATCAATCACAGATACAGGATTGATCAAAAAGATAATAACAAACTGCTTATTCGCGACTGGGTGTTAATGGTTTCAATAGTACACTCCCTTATAGGTATCGATAACATATTGTTTTGATTACCGAAATTTGTAAAAAAACAGATTACATGAACTTCCGTATATAAAGTTATTTAATGGATTCTTTTTATCCAACGACGACCATTTAATACTTTAAACACTGACTACCTATATCTCCACTGAAATTGGAAAACAAACTTCAAGTTGCAAACTTAATGTACCTATAAGTTAATGTTATCTTGAATAATATTGATAATATTGACAGATTCCATATTAAAATAATGTTGTTTAGTGCCATTCTTTATTATACAAGGTACCATTTCAAACCCATTCAATTGAAGTGCATAAATCAATTTGATTTTCGATTGATTTATGATAATTGTTAAAGTTGAATAACTTGTTTCTTTGAAAGACACAGAGACGTCATTACAACTTTACTGGGGGCCAATTCTACTAATTTACAACGATCGATCATCAATAGCGTTTCTGTAACGGTTACGTTTCGATTTTTGCTGTAAATTTGCATTCCGCTAACGTAAATTATCAAACGAACGTTTACTAAACTGAAACGTAATCGGAGCCAAATCGCAGCCGAACCAAACAGCTGTCATTAGTGTTACCAGAATAAAATAAATGAAATTATTAGTTAAACGGGAGACGATTAATAATTATTCATTCCTTGATTTTTTTATCATTTCTGTACGTAATGAATCTATTATATTCTTATTCGAACGTTTTAAAATACGGACGAAACACCCGAATATTAGCTACATTAAGAAAGTGCATACCTAAGTGTTAAGCTATAAGGGAAAATACCCAAAACGCGAATTTATAATTAATATTTTTATCATTATGGGTATTTGACACTATAAAAATAAGTTTCGTACTATTATCATCATGTTAGATAATAATCTAATAAAAGTTTATTTCTTAGAATCTGTAGATTTAAACAATTATATTCATCGAAAATAGAACAGATTCTCATGTAATATATTGACAGTGTGTTTATAATGTATCAAACAACTATTTTAATTAATTAGTTTTCAGAAAATCGTCATATACCCAATTCTAACTTTTATTAAGCACTCAACTTTAAACATGTTTAATATTTAAAGCATAAATCCGATATAATTAAGTCTTTTAATTAACAAAAAAGTCAGATGAAATACTATAAATCCTGGCGTCGACTAAAGATAACGTCAAGCTTAAAGAGTTAAGTTTCAAAATTCGAATGGTGTTGGTTTATTTTATTGTTTATACCGAGTTTTAATTCGCAAAATAAATGTTATTATGTAAGATAAAGTAGCATAAAAGTGAATAATATGATTCCGTAAAATAAAACGGTACCTACATAGGTAGGTCGTGAACAGAAAAGTTTTGACTCATTTTCGGTCACTAACAAACTGTAATAAGTGAGGTATGCAATCAGTCCAAGACTAGGACGAGCATTAATCCAGAGGTGTATACTTTACTTTAAACAACTCCGTTTCAAAAGAATGTACAACAAAAATATTATTTGTTTGTACTAAAAATTAAATGTTAAAGTTAAATGATGATTGCATATGACTTTAGTAACTTCATTAGGTTTTCATATAACATTTCCAATTACGGGCATTGGAAATTACATAATAATAATAATATATATATATATATATATATATATATTTATTTATTTGGGCATTGTTAAATCAACAACCGTAGTAGTCCGTAAAACTTAGGAAAAATGCAAAATTGCACCAAAATTAACTATTATAAAATTTTTTTTTATTCTATAAATGTTACTGCAGTTCTATTACATATAGTGAATTAATCGATTATTTTCCAATCGATGTTTGATTTTCATATTGCAACACCAATTCACTTTTTGTCAATACAAACCACAATGATACAGACGATGTTTTAATTAATCTTTCATTCATTACTTTTTCGTTTTACATGTAGAAATTAATTTATTCACTTGACTTTGGCAGAATTGTGTGAAATGCGCAGATATACCATTAATAAAAGAAGAATGAAATTGACAAAATTGAATTGTAAATGACAATTTAATATGGGATATCTACTAAAACAATCCGCATATGTGTATTTTTTTGTAATATTAAACTGTAATAGAAAGTGAAACATTATACTTGAAAATATTATTTACAAAATTAATTTTATAAAATAATTCATACCATGTATTGGCTACGCACGTGAAATTGGCAGAATTATGCGAAAGCCCTTAATAAAAGAAGTTTTCGATTGAAAATAAATATTCATACGTATTAATAACATAGTGAAGAAGATAAACGATAGTCGACTGAAAGTAGACATTTAAGAGAGAATTATTGATGATGAAATGAATCCAATATCTTTCGAAATCTGGCTATACCTACATCTGTACACCGAATCAAGCAAGGCAACATAATATATACTGTGGAAAATCTATACAAGATTAAATTTAAAACAATGTTTGTTATAGTAACCCATTAGAAATGTCATTATTGACTAGATATTATAAGTAAGATCAGAGAAAATTATTAATGATTTGACATATCTTTCACATTAAGTTGTATACAAATTAAATTCTTGTAGTTGCATAGATCTGCTCGCAGCTGTCATCCATGCTGACTATGAGCAAATTAAGTATAAGTTTCAACTGATATAAAAGAACTTACACATATAAATTCCTGCTAAATTGAACAAGAGCTCCTGATTCACAGGCTTATTTTTTCTGTTCTAAATTGTAACCCATCATAGCGTATGACAGTTTTCTTTGGGTTAAAATTGGTGGTTGGTTTTAACTTTGTGTCAAAAACAGTAGAATATGTATTTTTCATGTAGGTAATACTAATTAGGCTGAACATTTATCTTGTATGCAACTTAATATATGGTTACAGAAAGCCTCATGTTATTTCAAATGTTACATAAAACTGAGCTGCGGCTAAGCTCAATTTTATGTAATTTTTTTAAATTAAAAATAATTCAGAATAAAATCTTATAAACAGTATATTTACCTGTTTAACAATCCTTTAAACATGATGATGATATGATGTAATAATCCTTTATAATATTTTAATCTCCAAATAAAAAAGTGAGTAATACTTATGTCAGAAAAAAAAAATTCATAATTATAATTTTTTAATTAAGATTATTATTTGATCATATTTTCTTTTTAATGTTATTGATAAAATTTACACCCCTGTCTTCATAAATTGTTATCTCTCTCTCTCCATCCCATGATTGCCTGGAAGAAATCACTTTAAGCGATAAGGCCGCCAATTGCTACATTATTTTGTTAAACTGTTTTAAATTTGTATACCTATATAACTTGTGTAATGTTAACAATAAAGAATTTTCTATTCTATTCTCTATAATGGTATTATTAATATAGTTTTGGTGAACTTCCTAAACATAAATGAGCATATGCTCACTAGTAATGCAAGTAATTCTTAAATTCACAAAACCTGCTGGTTATCTGGTAGTTAAATTGGTTTTAGCAGACGCCCAGACTGTGAGTGTTTATGGGTTTAAATCCCACCTCAAGCACTAATTGCTTGAAGTGGGTTTTTTAATTATTTTCCTTTAAGATAAATATCGATATAGTATTGCAAATGCAAAAGTGATCAGAAAAAATAATGATAAATTAATTAATTTGTAAACAAGGACTTTTTCAGTGCCATTTTTATTGGAATTCCACACATGCTTGTAAATACACACTTTTAAGTTTTCCTGTAAAAATACTACAATAGTTAACTTTATTCAATACAAAATATTCAAAAATTCATGTTTTTATAATCATAGATAAGTTTACTTAAAGCCAAAAGCCCCTACAATCTAATAATGATTTTTAGGATGTTCCTATTTACAATGATTGTTTATAATTATGTAAAGTTTTAACAGAAATATAATTTTTCAATTTAAATTTACATTACATGCCTCAACTAGGTGGACCTTATTTATGTTAAGAATCTACATAATATGAATTCAACATTTCAAATTCATAGAGGAATGAAAACCTATTAATTTATCTATAAAATGTAAGTTTTTAATAAAAAATAATAATTTAAGATTAATAATCAAGATATAATTTATTTTATTTTTAAAGTCTGCCAACATTTTTACATATCAATAAGCAACCACAAAATTACAGAACTATCTATAACAAATAGATGAAATGGTGTACATAAAAAGTTTATTAAACATATGCATGCACTATCACACTTGTTTATCTAGCTCCATAGTTTTCGATTTCATTTTTTTTCTAATCATTTTACATAATTTATATCACATGGATTGCTATGTTCTCATGAGGTAGATGAGGAATCTGGTGTTTGATACCCAGATTTTGTATATTTACTTCAGACGTCAGGGTGCTCATTGAAAGTATCCTTGTATCTTTGTAAAATAAATAATATTGGATAGAAAATTTTATATGCTTGAAGTGCTAGACAGTTAAAGATTAA